GTTTTAGTCCATGTATAGCTAGAGTTTCATCTGTGCATAAGTAGAGTGATTGTATTTGGTCCTGTGGATAACTTTGAAGGATAAGTCACGTAGGGTTGAATGACCTGACTCCAGAAGGTGTTCATACCCTGAAGACTTTGTTGTTCTTTGCTCACCTTTCATCAACCAAACTGGGTGGTAGTGTTCAGCTACGAATTTACGGAGAATACGCTTACAACGTCCAGTGTAATCAGCTCCACAAGAGCATGTGAATGAGTATATGCACATAGAGGTGGACATAAGCGGCAACTTATCCTTAATTCATTTTCGAATCGTATTTCGGCTGGTAAATACTAAATTTAAGTCAGCCGCATTAAAAGAGCGTTGTACATATTCAGAAAAATGGCTTTCAATGACTTCAGCAACAATTTCACGTCTGAAAGCCAAACTCATAAACACTGTCTTCTTCAGCAGTGTGATTTGGCTGGGGACGGTTTCTTTCTTGATGCTGCTGTCGATAAACCTTCTAGGATGTCCATTATTTAAGAGAGTTGTGCCAAGGCTTGCTAGTTCTATGTCTACCATATCTACAGAGCACATGTTTTGAATTCTGGAGCATAGAGAATATAGGTCATATTTTGATCATAGTTCACGCGATTTTTTAAAATTATATGTTGATGCCTGTTTAATGACTCATATGATTGGACAAAGTTTTTAAAAACAAGAGATGTCTTTTTCATGTATAAACCTCTGTTAAGTTAATTTCAATTAATTTCTCTGAAGAAGTTCGGACCAGTTTGCCACACGAAACGTTGGAATCACTTATTTAAATTTCGCTGAGATTTTACAAATATAATTTTTCACAATTGAAGATGACTTTAATTCCTAAGCTGAATAGGCAAGAGTAAAGAATAGATACCACAGCCAAATGACCTTGAATTAACCAGTCACATCGTTCAACATTATGAAAGGGTCTAGGGTTACGGTTAGTGTTAATGTAGGGTTAAGGTTACAGTAGATTCCCTGTTAAGATTATGGCAAAAGTAAAAATGAAGATAATGGACAACATCCATTTGAAAGGATGGGCTACGTGACAGTCATCAAAAGGCTACACTCATCATAAAGTCAATCATTCAACAGGAATAATGGATCTGATAACTGGTCCTTATTCAAATTCTGTTGGATCTTGGCCAAATCTCAAAACGGATTAAAATGCTTTATGTCTATGGCCAGTCCTAAAAAACTGGGAACTGTTTTCGCAGCACATTAGAGACATACCCTATATAATTCATTCTGACCGTGTATATATATATATATATATATATTAACTAGAAGGTCATGATTGGCTCATTCCAGGTCATTTGACTGCAATACCTATTATTTAATGTTGCCGCTGAATGAAGTATGAGACTTACTTCTAATGCCGTTCTCACCTTGAATTGTGTGAACAGTAAACTAGGACGAAACAGCTGTCCAGTACTCTCAGGTTTTCCAATGGTTCTGTAACCAATGTCAGCTCACGATGAAATCCTGTAACCAATCAATCAAATCCCTACAAACCAACACTTGAATATCGATGAGATGCTCACTAGCGACTTGCCCTATTCAGGTAGGTAGTTACCTGAAGTTCTAGTGAGAAGTCGTGACCAGTAGGGTGCAGCAGGTTGGGTGTCAGAATAATTACTCACCAAAGAGATTGGCTAGTGGTCGCTGTATGTCGTGAATTGGCAGAAGTTAGAATTCATAGGCCATTGGATTGGGTCATAGTGGCTTAATGGCCTACGAGCTAGCTAGCCTTGTAGCCAGAAGGTCCTGGGTTCGAAAACTGGAGATGGTAGCGTTCTGCTGAACAGTCCCAAACCAGGCTGACGAAATAGCTGTCTGACAGTACTCACAGCTGGTTCTCTAACTGATGTCAGCTCATGATGAAATCCTGTAGCAACACGCGAATTAATTTACGCTTTGCGAATTTGATCCAATGTATTACTAGTTCGCCTTTAGTGGCTAGCAAGAATTCGGGTATTTTGAACTGATTTAGTTCTGTGAATTGAATCAAACCAGGTACACTGCTGATGACCTCAGCTCCAAACTGTCGAAACTACGTTCAAATCACTTCGAAATGGCTAATAGGCACTACTGTTTAGTTTGAGTAATATCAAACTACTTTATGACATTGAATCAGTAGATCATGCATTCGTGCTTGCTTTCTTGTCTGATATTTATGATATTAAATGGATCACATATTGTGATCTGAAAAGTTTCAGCTTCCAAAGGAAATTGTGGTAAAATTTCACCTTCTCGAATTGTGTAAACTGTAAGTTGTTGATTAATTTATCAATTCGATCTGATTCAGCTTTTGTTTCTCAAGCTAAACCGCATTGGTTTATAGTTACCAGTGGTATTTAGGTGTCGTTTCACGAATTAGGGGTTGTCTTCAATCTCAACTATGCTTGTATTTGCCATAACTGAGATGATAGGAATAAACTCCGTCGCCAGTGTCTTATATCTGACCTGAGCTGAACTGAATAAATGCGTCACTACCTTGTTATATCTGTGCCTGTTAATTACTATAACGGTATTGAACTCGACAGGAGCATAATGCCGCGCCAGTTCTTGACGGGGTCTGAGGTCCTGATAAGCTGCAGAATGGTTCCAAATAGCTACTGCTTGCTCAAGTCTTCTTCGGTTTGCCGAAGATATCACAAAGTAAAACGGCTGAAATATGACCTATGTGTCCAAAAGGAATCTGTCGTTGGACTTGAATTACCCAGGTGACTCATTCTGTAATAACTTTTTGTTTTCTATTTCGACTAACTTATCTTTTCAACTCCCACATCCCTCCCTCTTTTTTCTGTTTGACTTCCACAAGAGATATTACATCATCAATGAATTAGTCGTGTCCTCTGTGGTGGTTGATTTAACTGTGAAGCTTTCGTTATCCTTCTAGAAGATGTTGTCCAGTTCTCCACTTACGAATCTTCTCCTTTATTACATCATCATCATCATCTTTTCATTTGACATTCTGCACACCTAATTCTAATCTTCTCTTATCTAACTACTTAGTTGTCACTAACATTTTTGTTACCACCCTAAAAACAAACTTGTTAATTAATTTTCTGGAAACTTCTCTCCAGCAATATATGCATATATATATACACTTCAGCTACCTTGTCATCTTGATGTTTGACCTCACCATGACACTCTTATAATATGCTAGTTGATGGACAATTTAAAATTTTCCGTTGACTGTCATTTATTGAAGATAAAAAGTTGTGTGCAGCTGATGACAACCAACGAAGTGAAATGTATCCATGTTATTCTGTACCAATGTTTGTTCTTCCTCTGTTCAAATTTATGAAAGGGAATCCTTGTATGATACTGCTTACTTCCTGGCTCGCCAATCCGTACTTGATATGTGTCTGCAACGAAGTTCACTTTTAATTTTAACCGAATTCACAAAAATCTTTGTGATAATGGTTCTGATAGGAGTACAATAATTACTGAATTCAATGAAGCACATTCGGCTATGAAATTCACATGCGAAGAGGAATCCCAAGACAGAATTAACTGCCCTCCTGGATGTCCTAGTTACAAGAAAACCAGATGGTAGCATAAAAAGAAATTTGCATAGAAAAAGCACGTGGACAGGACAATATACACATTTTCACAGCTTCGTTCCTATCAAGTACAAAAGAAATTTAGTTAAGACCCTCAGCCACAGAGTTAGAGCTATATGCTCAGAAGAAGTAATTGAAGATGAATTAAGCATTGTATATGATAATTTGATCGCAAATGGTTATCTTGACAAACTTATCAAGAAACACATGATAAATAAAGCGGAAAAGGACTACTCACTACCTGTAAACCAGAAGCCACTTTATATACAACTACAATTCAAAGGCGATATACCAAGCGAGTTAATTACGAAGAGATTAAGAAAATCAGTTCAGAGAACTTCTAATGCTGGCGAACTACACGTATTATTCTCTACACGACTGATGGTGCTACTTCGACTGAAAGATGAAGTACCTAGACTAGCAAGCCACTTCAAATTGTATCTATCAATTCAACTGCGCTTGTAATGGAGCTAGTTATATTGGCCGTTGCTCTAGGAACTTGATTTTTCGTGCCAACTCAGGAACATCTCCCAGTATGGCTAAGTGAAGGTGTAGTTATAACTATTAACAGCTCGATATCAGACCATCTGGTGCAAACCGGCCGGCCACAAAGCCAGCGTTGAAGAATCCTTCTCAATCATCTACTGGGTGCCTAATAAGTTGCCAAAAACATCGAAGCACCGCATGCTCCAAACAGCAGAGGCTATTGCAATTCACCTTAAACAGCCAGTGCTCTGTGTTCAAAAGAAGCAAGTCCAGCCGCTTCTATTGCCCTGTCCTTCAGTTTCAGTAGAGACTATAAACTCATGAATTTGTAATATAATCTTTCCTAATTTTTCTGACATTCAGCTTATGTTATGTTGATGCTGTTCAGCTGTAATTTCTCAATATTATTGATTTGATGTTATTTAAACAATAATGTCGTTAATAAGACTAATTCATTCATTCATTATAATGTATATATAATTGTAGAACCTGATGATGAATTTATCCAAAAGAGTGCTCTTTGTTCAGTGTCCATTCTTTTGAAAAATCTAAAACTCAAGCAATCAGCGATTACTATTCAATACAGAAGCTAACGACTAAGAGTGAAGTAAAACGCCAGGTGACAGTACAGTTCGAATCAGTCACTAACCAGATCACTCGACTAGGGCTTTTACAGCTGTACTATCAACTAGTAATTGTGAGCTAAGCTATTAATTCACCGGTCTAGAAATTGAGTAGGCCGTTAGTTTGCATATATTGCTGAACTATATAGGTTTACCTTTCGTCTCCAGTCACTACTCATTACGTCTTTCTCAGCTGATCAGTCAATTTCCCGCCCCCCCATATAGTCTTACCAGTGACGCTTAGCAGTTAGTTAGGTTTTCATTTCTGTATCAGAAAACAAGAAATAAAGCATAATTTTTCAAAAAAAACTTTTAATATTTTGTTCATTCTATACTAAGGAACAAAATCAGATATGTATATATTATCGGCATCACAGCTGTCATCCATCGCATCCTTCTTCCTCCATTCATTATAATCTTTTTTATAGACGTTCCAACTGAATGGGTGGTGTATAAATACTGCCCAATGCAAATGGTATACATGCAGCAGTTATCCATAGGGAAGCGAATATCCAGCACTTATAAAATTTCCCCTCACCAATAAGCATTAAAACGTTAGATGCACACAGAAAACCAACTAAAGTAGAAATGAATACAGGCAGAAACAGTTAGTGGTATTAACACAATATGAATTGAGTGAACAAAATATGTACTATCTGAATATAATCAGTGACCAGAGGACTGTTAGAGTTCCATCTTCCTTCTGATTAATGTCCACCAATTTATATATATATAAATACATTGGGTTCTGAGTGGAAGACAGACTTCAACTACACATTTCCACCTTCTTCTATTCCCTGCTGTCCTCCTCCTCTGCCTCACACGCTCTCCTCCATGTCACCCTCTTACCGACGACCAGCTAGTCGCTTCCCATTCGGATTCCACTCGAGCGACGGCCTGCATTGCACGTGTTGTCAATCGACGGCCTCTTCAACGTATGTCCGAGCCGTCCATCTCCATTTTCTCCAACATGTTTCTTGAGCAATTGGCTCCTGGTTAGTTTGTTCCCAGCCAGAGCTTCTTGTTACTAATTCTTTCTGGACATTTGATCTTCAGTCTAGAGATGGTGAGGGCAACTATTTATAAAATTCTGCAACAGGCTGTTGGAAATGCTTTTCGCGACACGAAGTGCAAGTTTCTGATCCGTATAGAAGAGCTGACTAACTGACTTCACATTGGCGTTGAATAGAATCCGAAACTTGTTGTTTATGCTGTTTGAGTGAGATTAGAAGATTTCCAAACTGGCTTGAGGTTGATGAAGGCGGATCTTGCCACTCTGATTCTGGCTGGCTGGCTGGCTGGCTTTGACATCTTCATCCGTGCTGTCCGACTGCCTGTGTTTGAAACCATGCTTCCTAGATAAGTGAAGGAAATAACCTCTGTTGAATCTCCCCGTTGATGGTTATTGGTGTTCTTTGGTAGGTTGTCTTCATCACCTCTGTCTTCTCTATGTTCACCTGCAGTCCTGTCCTAGCTTCCTGCCTGCTAGTTCAGACAGTTTGTTGGTTTTCGCCTGCCTCTAAGTCTTCAAGTTTGTGTGACAATAGACATATATCATCTACGAAATCCATATTTTCTAGGTGCAGTCTTCTTATCGGTGGTCCAGCGTGTTCCTGTCCTCTCACTCACAACGTACAGTTTGACACATAATCCAGTCCACCAGAATTAAGAATATCATCGTGGGTGATAATAGACAGTCTGTCTTGTCTTACGCCTGTATTCGCTTCGAACGCCTCACTGAGTTTTCCGTTGTGGATCACCTGACACGTGGTAAGCACTGTCAAATAGCCAGCTGTTGTATGAGGTTGTTGAAGCAGTATCCAAATTACTTCTTGGTCTATGAAGTTGAGGTGGACTGACGTTTGACTGCCATTCTATACTTTGTTCTGTGATGACGATGTGTAGAGTTGCTATTTGATCAGCACACGATTTGCCTTTCCTGAATCCAGATAGTTCTGGGTGGAGTTCCGTATCCAGTGAATCTTATACTCTCTCCATGATGATGCGCCTCAGTATTTTACTTGTCGTGGACAAGAGCATTATTTCACTCCAGTCAGTTCTTGAGGAGAGAGGCGTAAGTCGCCCTCCTTTGGTAGCATGACAAGGCAGCCACCCTTTCTTCCAATCGGTAGGCACCTTTCCTTCCTTCCAAACCTTTTGTATTAATGGCGTAAGCATACCTTCTGCGGTCTCTGGGTCCGTTTTCAGTGCTTCAGGGGGAATTCCATCTGGCCTTGCAACATTCCCGGCAGAACTACAGTAGCTTGATCGCATTCAGTATCTCCGACTTTGTTGGAGGATTGGTGTCCAGTGGCAGGGAGTTCTGTTTGTGCTGTCATTGGTGGCGTATTTCTCGGCGAGTTGCAGGTGATGGTCGATTCAAGAGTGCTTTAATTTGTTTCTCCTCCTTCGTAATCAGGTTCCCCTTGACCGTCTTTGATTGGTTTCATCATCTGGGTTGATCTCTTCCCTGATAGAGACCTGGTGTCTATCCGAAATAATGTTCTGAGGTCTCTTTTTCTTACGGCCAGCCTCTTATGCTTCATTTGCCGATCAGTGTGTCGTAGAATTGTCTTTTATCTTTCCTAGCACTCTTCTTCACTTCTCTCTTTATTCAGTGCAGTGTACATTGAACTCAGCTTCTCCTTATCTTGTCCATCTTTTCATCGAGTCGTTTTCTGTTCCACCATCCTCCTCTCCCTTCATTGATTAGATTCCAGGTATCGGCTGAGAGCTATGTCTTCTCTTTGTACATGTTTCCTTGAGCATCACCCCCCCCCCCGGAGTGTTAGCTCCAATGTTCTTTCACACAGGTTTCTTCATTGATGTCACTTAGTGTCCCGACTTTACCCTGATCTAATTTGCAGTGACAGTAACTCTTGTGGTTGCACCTTCCAGATTCTGAATGTTGAACTTGAACTGTGGTTTGTCTCCAGTTGTTTCGAAGGCTTTCAGCTCCACCGAACCTTGAAGGTTCCTTATTTATAGAAGGCTTGGTTCAGAGACAGTATATTTACCGTGGTTGCATGTGATCTGAGGTTCATATCCTTGCCGATGCACTACTAAATCTCGCTTAGCCGTTGTAGTAAGCCCAGTAAATAGGGAAGGTTGGACGAGAGGCTAGTAACATTATTCCGTAAAACCCCGGAATAACACTACTTCCACTGGAACTTCACAGCTCCAGCTTGAAGCCGTATTTTCCACACAGAACGCAAAGTAATAAATAATGAAAAATATAGAATTAATGTCATGGACAGTATTACGATAACTATCAGTCATCATTATAGTTGTGCATCTTTCCTAAGAAATCTGGAGCGATGTTTACAGTCGATTAATTAAACCAAACCTCTTAGTTGCGCATAAAATCCAAAACATAGGATTTGTTTAAAATACATCAGTATACATAATTATACTAATTAGAATATACACAGCTCATACTGGGAGATATGTCTAGTCTGTATGTTATGAAATGCACTGTTACTATGCGTCATCAAGAAGAAATCACAGAGCTGTATCAAAGGTGGTCTACGCTTAGAAATAAACAATACGGAATAAAGAGATTCGAATAAACAATGTTCAGCAAAGAGTGGAACATACAGAAAAATTGTACAGCAAATACTACTACTATACCGTGAGATTATTAATTGTGCCAGACGAAACAGAATAATGATGGGCTAAATGACAACTATTCCGATGAAAATCAACAATCATGTTTGCGCAGTAACGAAAGAATAAATAAAACATAACTTATACTACTTACTAGTAAGAAGTAGTTCAAAGTTTAACACGAATAAAATAGGAAGAAGGAATTTGAATGAGGCATTCAGCAGACAAATTTCTGGAAATGATTTCATTTCTTAGGTTCTCTACAATCGCTTTACAACTAGAATGGTTCACCAGTTTTCTTCTTATCCAGTATGAACGTTCCCTTGTGAAATGTTTGTTTTCAAAGACGAGCAAAATATGCACGAGTGACACAATTTTGGATAAACGTTGACAGATACATTCACTTTTATTAGCTAATGGTTATCCGGAAAACTTTCTCAATTATCACACTATGGACAGACCACATCTTAAAAACACAATATTCAACGAAGAGACTCTTTTCAGCGAATTTATTATCAAGCTGTTTAACCGTGGTCTAAGCTGAAATAAACGATAACGCTTGATAGCATTAATCAGACCACAGATTTTGTTGCAGCTCCGGTTTGCTGATTTTTTGCATCTCTCGTCTTACTCTCCTTAATATGAAGTACAAACAATGGATACAGAACATCTAAAAGTGAACTTAAAAGTTTTATTTATTTGAGTTTTAGGTTAATTTTGTATATCCCGTTAACTGAACCAAAATATTTGGCGTTTTCTAACTTATGGGCATGTCGTACGGACTCTTCTATGATGTATGAAGATTAATATGTTGTTATTTGGTGGATAAAGGCTGGCAGAGGTATTCAGGATGCTCATTTGACCTTATTCTGGGCTCGTCATTTGAATGTGACTGCAATCCCCAGTGAGTGATCGTATTCTCAATGAGACTCGAACCCAATACTCATTATTTCAAACATTAAGATGGCATCCACTAGGCCAGAAATTGGACGGTTTGAACTGACTCGATTCTGTGCGCTGAGTCCAACCAGGTACACTTCTGATGAGGACAACCTGAAAGGAGCGAAACTGCTATCAGGTGTTTAGATCACTTCATTCTGGCTAGTATGCTCTATCGGTTGATATGAGTGGTACACAACAACTTATCTCAATCAATCAGTAGTACATAATTCTCTGAATTTATGCTTTCTTTCTTAATGATCAATTATGGTGACAAGTGGTTCATATGTTATTATTCAAATAATTTTGGTTTTCAAAGGAAACTGTTATGAAATTTCATGTCCATATATTCCACAAGTTGCTAATTTGATCCGCTAAGGTACTTGGGCCACGAGACTTATCAATAGACGCTAAACATTGCCATCACATACAAACAGTCAACGGGAAATATTAAATTGATATCGGTCAGAGAACCACTGGGTAACCTGGAAGTACTGGACAGCTGTTTCGTCAGCCTAGTTTGGGACTATTCATCAGTACGAATCCACCGGGGTTTGGACCCAGGACCTTCTGGTTACAAGGCGAGCTAGCTAGCTAGCAGACCATTAAGCCACTGGGATCCAATCCAATGGACAGACCATGAATTCCATCTTCTGCAGATTCACGACATAGCGCGACCGCTACCCAATGTCTTCAGCGAGTATTTGTCCTCACCTTCAACCTCCTGTACCCTGCGGGTCACCACTTCCCATAAGATTTGTCACTTTTAGATATACGACGATGAAATCGAGAGGTTAAAACTCATTAAAACAATTAACGAATAGATATTAGTAAGGCATATTTAAGTTTTGAAGGGGGGGTGAAGATTAATTTAGGAAATGAAGATCAGTTAATTCGTAGGGGTTAGTGACAAGTTATTACGTAATCTAGAAATTAGTGAAATAGTAATGATGGCTAAGAAGGATAGGATGACTCGGTAGAATTACATAAGATACTGGTGAACTGACTGAATTAGCCAGAATTGTAATCATT